GGAAAGTAGACTTAAATATGAAGCCGTAAAGCAAAGTCATGTGGGAACCTCCAGAGCAATCATCTAACCCCCCTTCCCCCTCAAGCAATGTTGAGACATCACGCGCAAGCGGTTGCGTGGCATGCAGCTTGGCTAAACATGCCAAACATGCCAAAGCCACGTCAAGATCATGCCAGGTCCATGCCAAAGGTTTGTTCAATTAAAAAACCGATGGAAAGACTAAAGGACCAAGTATGCCTGAAATAGCGCCATTCATTGTGCCCACATGATTTCGACAATAATCGTGGGAGCAAAATGCAACTTCTGTTGAATTGCGGAGTGCATTGCAGCAGGTGCATGTTTTTTTTGAACTTCAAAAAGCAGAGCAAGACAAGGGAAAATGAACATAAAATAAGACAAGAAAAGCAAAAAAAGCACAGGATAGAATCAGTCTGCTTCGAGTTCAAGCCATCTCCAATTTGTCTTTGGAGCCATAGTTTCATCCAAAGCCAGCCAGAGCTTAAGAGTTGCTTGATTTGAGTTCAAGTCATCTTGGAGGCATCATGGTTTCATCTTTGATTTGTCTTTGATTCATCTGAGCAATCTTTTGTTTATTTTGATTGATCCTAAAGTCATCTTGGGGTCATAGATTCATCTTGGACAGTTTCAGAAGGGTTGGTCTAACTATCCCATACACGGTCTCTAGCTCTTTTGCAAGCTTCACTTGAGGGCCTGCGCGTTGACCATTTTCTCTTCACTTTTTCAACTCCAGTTTCGAGCTCACAAACCTGGACGGAAGATTGCTGAGGCTGCCAGTCATTGTCACAATTCTCACACTTGCCCATTCGTAGCTACGTGGATGACCTACATGCGGCGCTCCTGATAAATTCAGCCCACTTCTTATGTCGGTGCACCCATTGGCTGGAAAAAGTCGGAGACAGTCTAGTCTGATGTGGTTGGCTTTGATTTTTGCCCACGAAAATGGTGGAGCTTTTTGTGCAGCCAAGACAGATAAGAGGACACTCAGCAAGTCTAAGTGGCCATGATGAGCACCAGTACACCCGAGATGTCTTTAAGCATCCCTGAAGAGGTGAGTGCAGGAGAAGGAATGCAGAAGTCAGTCTTACCATGGACGGCAACACAAATTCCTCAGAAATTGTGGATGCGGGACCCAGAACTTTCACAGACCAGACATGCTCCCAATGAACCTTGTGCTATGCAAACCATTGACGAAGACTTTTTAAATATTTACATGTACACACATGAAAATGTGTGTGTGTGTGTTTGTGTCTGGACACTGTGGTACAGACTCTGCAAGTGCACCAGAAGTGGAGTACCAAGAGTTTGGCTAGGCTCGCATTTGTTCGTAGGAACAGGATTCAGTGTTGTTTGTTGCTCGTTTTTGTCAGATGCACCGCGCGGACCGTTTCGATGACCCCTTGATCCATCACTGTCGTGGCCGTTGAACAGGCACAATGCTTGATTCAATCCGAGCTTCGGCTTTCATGTTTACCGTATGAACAGTTGATGGTTTGAATTGATCACTTTGAAGCTTTGCTTGTCGTTGCATTGCTGTTCTCCCGTTTTGTTTGGAGCTGTTGTGATCAGTTGCCTTCTTGTTGACTTGTTTTGGTTTCGAGAAGTCGGACAAGGGTTCGGTTGCGATTTGATTGCCATTCATCTGACAGTGTTGTGCAACTGCTTGGTGGCGTTGGGAGCATTGCTTCAAAGATCATCGTGTTCTGAGCGTGTACGAATGCAGCAGGCATTTGAAGCTTGAGACTGAGCCATGTCAATGTCATGGATGTAAAGAGCGAACACATCTCATGGAGGGACAAATCCCCTGGACGGTTTGCCGGTGTGCCAGAAGATGATTTCGAAGTCCTTCTTTGGTCTAAAGGCACGAAACCGTGGTCACACTCGCTGTTTGCATGGCGGTCGACAGGAGGCTGCCGGGGCCGGGTCGGGAGCGCGACACCAGGGAGCGAGGATGCAACATCACAGCCTCTTCGAACAACTCGGATGCCTCTGGTGTATGATTCGGTTCGCAACCATGAGCAGGATGTATGCCTTGCATGGTTTGGAAGCCAACTACTCGGAGGCTTTGCAGGTCGAGTGTTTGTCAGGAATGTTTCGTGCCTTGCACGAAAGATTCGGATGTGGGGAAGCAGCCGCATCTGAATGGAATGTGGGTTTTTATCATGGCAGCACTTGTATTCCTGGAGCGTCCGAGAGAGAGCATCTGAGATCTTAGCCGATAAGTTTTCTTGTGCCTAAATGGTCTGAAATATTTCCCCAGAGCCAGTAAGATCACTGGATGGACGCTTGTGCCTCCTCATAATATGACGAGCATCACAAAGCACAGCAAAGTCTTCGGGCCGGGCGGAGACAACCCAGCACAGCAAATGAGCCAGCTGTCGCACTTGTTGCGTAAATCACACTAGTTTGCATGAGGTTGCAATGCGGAGTCTGTTCGCGATGCAGGAGTCGAATTTGGCACGTGTACACCAAGATGACCAATGTCTTCGATGCAGAGGAGCGAAATTCAATCGTTTTTCGTCGGAGGATCTGACACAGGTGTGATCTCAAAGTCCAGGCCAACACGATCCGTGAGCGCGTGCCCATGCTCTTACCGCTTCCAAACTATGTCCGGCGCCGAGCAATGCGCTTTCTGATACGGTGTCTGGCGCTGGAGTGATTGATAACGCGCGAAAGAAGCGGAGCGCGCACGAGGTGCTGTTTGGCTCTGATCTCCACAGGAGCCATCACCACATCGTGGCCATGACCTCATGAGATGTGCTACGAAAGACCAACTCTGAAGGTCAAGAGGGCTACACTTCAGGATGCTTAAGCATGGCCCGAGTTTTTCGACAATGAGGTGCACGACATGTCAAGTCCATACGATGTTCGACTGTTTTTTCACAGCCGTTTTGTCGTTTGAGTGGCTTTCCTGCGTGGAAAGGAGAATCATGGCAACAGGTGCAGCACATTCATGCCAAAAGCATCCATAGATTTCGCACTGTTGAAACAGCGTAGTTGCCAAGGTCTCAAATTCAGCAGTTTACATGGCAAGGCAATGCCCTGCTTGGCCCCTTGCTCAGATTGTGTCAAGGAGGTCTCAGCAGATGCATACAGAGTTCGCGGGACCACCAGATTCGCGGATCCCCTTGCCGGACACCGACGAGGGAGGAAAGGCCTGCCTATGATCTCCACGTTGGTGGGTGCTGATAGAAAACTGTCGGCTCGAAGGATATCGAACCCGATTTTCCACCGGACATAGTAGACGAGGAGGCGCTTTCCATGAAAGCTTCCTGGTTTCAGAACTATCGTTGCTCTGGTGCAATGTCTGTTAGCATTGGTGGCTTTTGTGCAAGGCTGCTGCTGACTTTGGGAACGGCAGTGCCGAAGAACAGGCATTTCGTCGTTTGCGCACTGTAGGCATGTAGGAACTCATCTACATGATCTGTGCAGTCAGATGCAGCAGTTCTCGATCATCATTTCATTTCATGTCATGATGTTCTTGTGACAAGGCAGCTCGGCGTTCGAGGAGTCGGTCTTCGTCCGAAGAGGCATCTAATTTTCCCTGTTGCATGCCAATGCATGCTTCTCCCAGAATGGCGTTCGTCCTAGGTTCCTGATGGTCCGGATGACGATCCCCGCGGCCAAACTGAGGAGCCATGAAGTCCGCATTTTGAGTGAGGCACAGCGAAGCAAAGCAGGATGACCAAGAGCACACAGGGGTCTTCAACCTCGACGAAGCTGGTTCCTTACAGTTCTGAGGTAACGGGAGAGCGCATAGAGTCTAAATATAGAGGTTGAAGATGAGTCTCATGGTGCAACACCGGCCAAGAAGGCAGGACTGCCCACCTCATCTGTGTTGAAGCGAAGTCTCGTTGGGCCGTGATCCCAGGAGTCCCCTTCGTGTGCAAAGTGCATGGCACTCTCCCCTGGCAGGTGCGACACGACGATGGCAAAGCCCCCACGACCTTGTCCCGAACTTATTCTTGCTGCCGGCGTCTGTTGATTGCCTGATCCACACATGCTCGACCAAGGCTGGGTATCTACCAAGAGCTCTGCCGCATGGGGCTCCGCTCTCCTGGCGCTATCAGGTCCAGGGAGATGGAGAAAGAGAGAGAGAGAGAGAGGGACACCGCAGGGTGAACACGACAGACGCGCGCCGAGGGGGTAGGCCTCCGGGCCAGGGTTCTTTCGGGAGCCCACACCCCTAGCAAGCAAGCAAGCAAGCAAGCAAGCAAGCAAGCAAGGGACACAGCGAAACTGTGGCGAAGAAGAAGAGTCGGACCCACTTCAGCACGTGATTTTGAAGCCATGGGAAAGCTAGAGACAGGGTGTGGGAGCGAGAGAGAGATAGACAAAGAGACATCGAGAGAGGAGTTGGTACGGAGGCGATCCTCAAGACCTGCAGCAAGCAAGCAAGCAAGCAAGCAAGCAAGCAAGCAAGCAAGCAAGCAAGCAAGCAAGCAAGCAAGAGGGTAGCACGGCTGTACCTGCTTGCAGCATGCATGCTCTGGCAAAAACGGGCCCAAAACGGATAAGTGGATTTGAGATCGAATTTGTTGAGCCGTGCTTGCCGACCCTCGCCTCGCTCCGGTATCTCTGTTAGTTTGTCGATGTGTCTCGGTGTCTCTTTGTTTGTCGAACCGGCTCTGGTTCTCGCTTTGTCTCTTGGTTTCTCGCTTCCTTGTCCTTTGGTCGGTTTGCCTTTCTGTAGCCATCGCATCGAGCTAATTCTTTGTGGTGTAGAGAAAGCGGGCAGATGCACGTTGACTTAACCCAGTTTTGACGGTCCCGCCGGGTCTGATTGCTTTCGGTCCTGTGCTTTCGGTCCCGTGCTTTCTTCTCGCCTTTTTCAGCCATCAGAAGAGAACAGAGAGGCAGAGGAGCAGCTGAGTCTCTGTTGAAGGCTGGCGTCTCCAGAGCTGCGGGATGTCGGAAGCCTCGGATGCTTCCTTGCCCGGTGCTTGTCACACACGGATACCGCGATGCACGGCTTCTGAAGGCCGTTGTCCGGCTGTACCAGCCCCTGGTGCCCCGGTGGCCAGAGATGGTTTTCAGTGGGTGGTTGTCAGACTGTGTCGGACTCTGTCAGAGTCAAGGTGGAGCGGCGACCCCCAGCAGCCTTTCATCCTGAGCGCATGGCCTGGTGCCCGTCGGTGTGAGATGTTCTGACGTGGGTGCGCCAGAGAACTCTAAACGCCGGAGCCGAGGTGACCCTGAAATCTCCCAACTGCAAGCCACGGACTTAAAGTTTGTGATTAGTTCAGTGCCGACACGCCGCAACGCTAAGGGATCCGGCGTGGAAACACATCTTGGACGGCACTCGTACTGGGCCCTGGGCGTAAGAGTCTGAAGGTTTCTTGAAGTCCTGGGCCCTGGGCCCTGGAGAGTGAGGTCGCGCGGTGCCACGAGCCTTGGTTGATGCAGATGCCTCAATTTCTGCCTCATCGGTTTTTTGTCACTCTTTTTGCAGATGCTACAGTGTGAGGTTACGACTGGAATGGGAGGAGGGTTCCTGGCTTGGTATCACACAAGTTGGAGTGTCTTCGAGACGCAGGGCAGAGCTGGAAAGGCCAGAGCTGGATTTGCTGGAGCTGCGCCTCTGGGAGGCTTTCGCTGTTCGGAAGAGCTTTTGTTCTGCTGTCCTCGGTGACTTCTTGCAGATCAATGCATCCCTGGGCGATCAGCCCAAGCCTGCCATCAAGGACACGGCAAGCAGTATTCGACCGGGCAATGATCGTTTAACCTGTCTTAGTGGTGTTGGCAGTCCCAGGTGGTTTTGTGCCTGCAGCTTCAAGCCGGTTGTAGTCACGTGTAGCCTCTCCGAGCCTTCAGCACGAAGACCGTCGAGCTTTGGCTGCCAATGCCAATGCTTGCAAAATCGTAGTTGTGGAAGCTTGCTGGGAGAGAGTGCATTGAGCCAAGGAATCTTGGCGTCCCGGACATGGAGGACTGGTGCCGTCCTTGGATTTTCCTGGCGAGACCGACGCGTGACTCATAGAGAATTCCTCAACTTCAGATCATCCGAGTGTCAGGTTGCTGAAGAATGACAACGCAACCTCCTTCTTGTACAAGCATGAAGAGAGAAGGCACCCTTCCGGAATAGTGTATGACAGTAGGACGCGGTGCTTAATATGCAGTCGAAAGTCCTTTGAGCGTCCGTGAGCGTGTGGCTCACGTCAGAATGTAGAGAAGCTGGCTTTATTTATCCGAATCGGATTGCTCGTGCACTTTCCTTGACGTGGGCAGGTGAATATATTTGCGTAATGCACTGTTGTGACGGAGGCTGGGGTATCAGCCCAGCGATCCTCCTGCGCCCAGCGCCAGCAGGCATTCCTTTGCTTGAGAGGGTCATCGGAGTCGCCAACTTCGCTGAAAAATGCAGGACCGCCAGACACGTTCTCACCATGTGCGACCTGAGCAGGGAAGAGGCCGCCCCAGCTGCGACAGAAGATGGCAGAAGCAGTGCAGACTGGCCAGGTCATGGATATCTTGCGAGTGGCAGCGGCGATGAAGGAATCGAGAAGGATGAGTGCTTAGCTGAAGAGATATCACGAAGCCAGAGATGACTCGTCGCTGGCCCTCTGAGTTCCTGAGGACCTATCTGGACACGGGCTATGACAGATTTTCGGAGACTCTGAAAGGCAGTTGTCTCAGTGAAAGCCATCTCACACACTATCTAATCGCAACTTTTGGACTTGAAGGGACTATGGAAATGCTCCGATCGCCGTAGAACAGCGAGCCGAGGTTATTCGCTCTTGACGCTGTTCGAGAAGCCCTCTCTGCGTCGCTGGGCTGGAAGTGGTGTCGTTGTGGTCAGCGGAGCACATTCACCGTGAAGCAAGGAACACGAGTGTCGCTCGAAGTAGGCATGAACCAGCTAGGTGGCCCGAAGCTCAGACATTCACAGGCCTTGAAGAACTGAAGCCATCCTCCGCCGGCTTGACAGGCCAGGCGATTTTCTACTCCATAGCTGATTCACCGCTGGGTGTGAAGGAAAGTATTCAGGAGCCGAGCTGCGTCAGCATGCATCCTATACACTTTCCTGCATGGAAACTGGTCGTCTGCCAAGGACACCGGGAAAGTGTTGTCTCGAATGTGCGGCGAACTCGGGCTTCGGAGTAGCTGCACTGACACGGCTTCAGCAAGCAAACTGCATGAGTCGAAGTAAAACGCGGAAGGAAGGCCGGCTTCAAAAGGCTGAGTTGAGTCGTCCGCAGATATGGAACCTTCGCCGGACTGTATTCGGACGTCTGTTGTTACAGTGTCACAGCTAGGGAAGCGACTTCGTTTTAGCCCGCAGACTGCCATCTGGCACTGTAGTAATCATAACCCGAGGCCCATTGCGAATGGGTAGTTTTCTAAATTAGGGTCCCTTTTTAGTTCCCCAAATATAGTACGGCACCCTTACAAAAAAGGAGCCCAAAAGGGACCCTAACTTAGAGAACTACCCTCCAGGTTGGTACTTGCCCTGGTGTCTGTTGCCGCTTTTTATCTCGAGGCGAAGAAGCCAGCCGCAACCCGGAATGTAGAAAGGACTCGGCGCCGATGTCCTTCATGGCCCGTCTTGCTTGAGCAAAGTGCACTGCGCGGCCAGCAGATAAGCCGTGATGGAGGCCACAAACTCCGATTCTTCAGAGACACTTCGTCGCAGCAGTCCTTTCCGTTCCTTGCTGAGTAGGTGAGGTCAGGGTGAACCAGAAGTATGGACCTAAAGAAGCCTCTTACCCGGAGAGCTAATATCCGATTTGATCACCTTGTCCTGATGAGCGACTTCAGTTTTCTGTGGTCGCTATCTGCTAATTACTCTCGGGGCCAATGCAGGGTACGAGACACGTGTTATCTGGCGGCATCTCTTCACTGTGCATTGCTTGCAGGTTCTTCCTACCACTTAGCTTTGATATTGCCTGGGTTAGGAAGCATTACGGCATGCACCCCTCCCGACCAGTCAAGTTGAAATGTTCGGAGGGTGACAATCGCAACTCAAGACAACCAGCAACCTCGGGCTCTCACACACAAACTCTGCATTCCAAAAAGCAGCGGCACTTTGGAGGTGACGTAGCACACGACTTCGAACGATTCGCCCGTCCTAAAGTCGCGTGTGCGACGCGCTGAGAGTTCGTTCAAAGCAAATCTTGGGGGAGACTAAATCGTGTGGATGCTTTTGCACAGTGAGGGCCTGTCAGTGCAAGGAAGTCTGCATGGCTCGTCTCATGCAGAGTCGCCCCTGCAGCGTGTGATCCTGGTGGTGGCTTCATTGTGCATTGTTTGCAGTTAGCATCCAGGATGTTGTATGTCCAATGGGGCTTTCCACAGCTGAGGCAAGGACTGGTAGCTTTGTGTCGCTTCGCACTTGGAGACATTTGGGGTGGACTATGCGACATACTGGTGCCGATGATTGGTCTTATTGCGGTCTTTGCCCCTTGTTTGACACATGGCCTGGCGGTGGGGCATCTTGAAAGACGGTGCATGTCCTCGTGAGGAACGGAAGGCACTCTACTCCCTGCTCTGTGCTTTCGCCAACTTTGTGGATCTGTGTCTCAGCATGGGGCTCTGCCTTAGCACATTGCAGCCAGGCAGTCAATAGAAAAAGGGTTGTGGTAGATGGCTTTCTGTAGCAATCTTGTCTTATAGGGCTTAGGGATTACCGACAGTACCCCACCAAGCCTTGCGAAACAGCCCACATCCGAGATGATGCTTTGTTGCCAGTCATACATTGCCGAACCTCACGAGTTGATGCAGATTCCAAGCCATTGCATGCAACCCTGAACCTTAAACCCTAAATCAGGCTGCGATCCACGGAGGGTGGTAACCTCAGCACCTGCGACCGCACAGCCATCCATAGCTCCTCATGCCTTGTCACGGCTTTTTCCTTCTGTCGAGCGGCTGCAAGGACGGAGACTCAGTCTGGATATGCAGAGTGGCGTCCTTCTCACTTCTGCATCGCTGGCCCTTCTAGGTTTGTGCGCGACTTGTCTAAATCTCCAGGTCTTTTCGGCACCGCAACTGCCTTTTGCACCTGGTACGAACTCGTCGAGAGGCCAGCGTCCTGATGTGGCGGGATCTTCGGGCAAGAGAAGCCGGCGGCATTTCGGGCGCGGAGGCTGCGGTGATGTACGGCTCTCTGAAGGATGGAAGCGGAGGCAGCCGGAAGCTTCCAGCAAGATGAAAAGGACCAATCATAATTTCTAGTTGGCAATACTAAAACTCATACTGATACTGATACCAGTGCTAACTTGAATATTATATATATATATATCTATATTCATATGAATACTAATGCCAAGACTGATACCAAAACTAACATTAGTATTGATACACTGTGCCGGGACATTGGAACAGCTATTGCGTCCGGTCGTCTTGGTTAGGGTTGCTCTCTTGGAATTCTTGGTCATCTTGCTCGTTCCCTGGTCATCTTGGTCATCTTGAAGGGGGTCAAGATGAACGGTCATCTTGGTAATCTTGGCCCACTTGGGGGGGGGGTCAAGATGACCGGCGGGTTGGCAATCTTGTTATCTTGGTCATCTTGCTTTTCTGGTTTTATGGTGGGGCTGTTCTCGCGGTCATCTTGGTCATTTTGGTACTCTTGCCTCACTTGCCCCACTTGCCTGCTTTACTGCCACAGAATCGCGCACTCGTGTTAGTATTAGTGTTAGTGTACGAGCGCCAGTCCCGTGCATCGGTTAAGGGGTTCATAGCAGCTAGTGTTAGTACTCGTATGAGTACTAGTGTAGCATCAGTATCAGTATCAGTATTAGTATCTCTTTTAGTGTAAGCATTAGTAGTATTCATGTTACACGTGTTTGGCGCACGCAATTATTATGACAATGCAAACAGGAAGAATAACAGTGAAAGTAAGATTTAACAACAATAGCTGTTATCATCGCAGTGTAAGAGAGAAAAACATAAATGTGGTATGTCATAATGGATGTTGTATCTTAGGTCAGAGCTTGAACGACCCCTTCCTTCTGGAGCCCGGCTTAGCTTCTGGCATTGCATGTGTGTTTAGAGCCGACATCTGTGCACGGCTTGTCAGGACAATGCCTGAAGGAGTCCCGGCTCTGCAAAGTCTCGGAGCGAGAAACCGCCAATGCGGCTTCGGGTTGGTGATTGCAGTCTCTTCAGAGAGGTTCTGGCTGAATCCAGCCGGGCACGCTTGTAGCAGAGCGCGCATCACAAAGTGACCGATGTGGGAAGTGGCATTGCAGCATAATTTCCAGATGCCCTGGCAAAGATCCTCTGTCAGTCTGTGAAACTTGCCGGCTTCCGGAGTCCTTGAGGTCAAGGGATCACTGCACGGGTCATGACACGCAAGGCCAAGACTGCCCGTGCCAGATTTTGGATGTTGTTTTCGGACGTTCCCACAGATGATTGATCAGAGACGTGTGAGATGCAGGCTTTGCGGAGTTTGGCACAGGCGCGTCTGCAGTGGATGCAAAGTCTGTTCATGGGACAGCATCTTCCTGTACAAGCACTTTGATGCCATTTCCGACCGCAAGACACACTCAGAGAGATACAGATATATCCGTGTGATTGCAGGACATAAGCTCAGACTTGTAGTGTCCAATGCCGTTCAACTGGATCAGCTACATGTTTTGCTTTTCCAAGTGGTCAGCATCCAGAACGAGAATATGACGGTATCTCGAAACTGCATGAGTAGCCTTCCCTGTCATGGACACGGATGATCTGCTGGACATCCTGGAAGACGCCATCGCTGTGGATGCTGTTCAGTCAAGGGCGGAGGCTCGCAGATGCTTGCAGCTCCTGTTGAATCGTCCGCTCATATCATTCGCTTACGGCAGGCATTTCTCGTTTCAAAGTTGCCGCCACCCGGTTGCACTCGGCAGAGTTGGAGGGTTCGGCCGTGGATCTTTTTGGGCCGACAATTGCAGAACAATGCTGCATGGCAAAGCACCTCGATTCTTGACAGAATCGTGGACTTCCAAGTGTTGTCATGATTGGACAATTCCGCAACGTTGGTCCTTCATCTGACCCGAAACCTTCCTTCTGGAGCTTGTGACACAGGGTATTCGACCAGATGGTTCTGGATTATATCCGACCCTACCTATCTGAGGCTATTCCAAGGCCTCCCGCAAACAGCAGAGGCTCAGGACAGGATGCAGTGCCTTGCTGCTGAGTGTGCAAGACTTGAGCCCTTCAACTCTTTAGGAGCAGCGCTTGGAGTGGCATGAAGCGTATCGAGAGTATGTGAGCCTTATGGAGGACTCTGCTTTCGTAGAGTCTAGGGATGTTTGGAGCTTTTCTGTCAGGGTGATGGGCTGAGTGCAGGGAGTGCTGTATTCCAGCGTTGAAAGGATCTGGTGCTATCCGCCTGCACAGCGCAAGCGAATGTCACGCGGGAGGTGCGGCACTGGAGAGGATACTCAGACTGCCTGGCTGCCTCAGGAAGAAAGCATAAGGCATAAGAATCTGATTAGGGCATCTTAGAATCTTTTCCTGTGCAGGCAGTCCTGGCTCAACTTGCAGAGGTAGCAGCTGGCGAGGCTTCTTGTTCCGTTCGGAAGTTGTGTGTGTGTTGGCGCCAACATGTGAACTAATATGGCAAAACATGAAAGCATGGCAGACATGAGCCTGCGCACAGGAATTGAAGTGCAGCTGTGAACTTGTCGCTGAGTGAGTAGGTCCTTAAGTTCTTAAGATTGACCGACAGTGAATTCAGAGTAACCTGCTTCGGGGTCCGTTTCTTGACCAGCCAGACTCGCTGTTTCTGCATGCGTGGCAAACTCTTTGTCAGATCCCTGACAGTTGTTTCCGATATTTTCCAATTCTTGAGCAAACGCATCTCAAACTGTCAAGACCAATGTGCATAGAAGGTCTGTGTTTCGTGATAGCGCAACATCTCCGAGGTGCCTGCTCAACTCTCAGCCCAACACCGACCCATGGTGCTCACCAGGGCAACAGCAGCAATACCCGACATTGGAAAAGCACGACAAGCTGGATTGCGCTGAAATGATGGTCTGGGGATCTGGAGACGTGCTCAGTGCGTCTGCAGGCTGCAGATCGGAAACATGCGCGATTCTTGCCACTTGTCTGAGCGTGCTTGCCGCCTCGTGAGTGCCATGAACATCTCGGCCAATGAGGCTGAGCATGTTCGAGTACAGCAGTTTCTCGGCGACCAGGTGTTTAGAAAGACTCCGTCGCAGCACGTGGGAGTGGTTCGCTTCATCACTACTTACAGAGAACATAAACCACTGTTTCGTGAGTTCGTTTGCGACACAACCTGAGGCTTCCTGACAACGATGCAGGCGTCGCTTTTGCAGCTTGTGGACACTGTCATTCCGCACACTGCTGTCGGTGGTCGTCGCACTTGAAGCTTTGAGACAAGTGAAGCCTGCGCAGCTTTGTTTCTTTCTGGAGGAGTTGCTCGACCGGCAGCAACGCGGTCTTCCCTTGAGCTTCGGATCTCGACCTCCCAAGGAACGGCCCACCTGTCTCTTTGCCGTGATTGCATCTGCAAATCTGTGGGGTTCTCAGGCCTGCGTGGCGGCGACATCTGTGGCTGCTGGATACAACAATGCGTAGCTCTGTAGCTCCTCAATTTGCTCGGAAATTGTGTCCGGGCCACCTGTGCAGAGCTGACGTCTTTGCCTTTGTAGTTTATATGCATGGGCCCCGATTTGCCAATTATCGCAAAGCAGACATGGCAAAACAAGCATCACGTGGAGAAGTGCCTGCAAGCGTGTCTTGGACCTTGTACCTGCATTCTTCGTTGTTCAATATTCCGAGACATCCGAGACTCCTGTTTCAGGTGGCCGAAATCCCTGTTGTCAATGCTCTGGACGACTACGCGTGCGCTATCAGTTGTCTGGAAACATCTCTGTCTTGCGGTGCTGCTGGTCTGTGAAGGCACCCGCTGCAGATGCTTGCAGACCTCCTCACCGTGCTTGAATACAAGGCAAAGAAGTGTGGGTGTCGCTATTCGCTGCAGTCGATGTGCAGTTGCAGGGCTCATTCAAAGACTTCACCATGACGTACATGGGCGATTTGGAGAACAACGTCACTGCCCCAAGAGGTATGCTGGTTTTGCGCCGACAAAGTTAGCAGTGTCTTAGGTCACCTATGACTTGATGCGCCATGGCCTTAGAATCCTGCACTCCCGACGTTGGCCGGTCAAAGTCGATGGTGTGAGGAACAGCGGCTTTGATGGGCTACAACTTGAACCTGGCATCTTCCTCAAGTTGCAACCAATGACTTGAAAAGAAAAGCACAGACAGAGAGATGGCATGTTCGCAAACGGTCGCGAGTTGCAGCTGCCTAGGCTGGCCAGGGTGACATTGAGAAGTCTGCCGGAGTCTTGAAGCCCTGGCGAGCCGAGCTTTCAGACCGCATCCTGGGGATCGTCAGAGGTGTGGGAAGAAGTAAACACACTGGCGAAGGCGTCTGGGCGGGGCCCTCGCATACAGGGAACTGATTCGCTCGAAAGATGTATCCAAATTGCCGGCTTCCAGGTCCAAAGTGAAAGTCTGTGCGTCAGCTGCCGAGGTGGGGGCTTCCTGGCGTCTTTTTGCAATCTTTGCTCATCTTTTGGCTAGGCGGCTCTTTTCAGGAGCTTTCTCTAGCCCTCAAAGGGCAACATAGCTCTCTGTGGTCTGCTGGGTTTGATTTCGTCAGCTTGAGCAGTTGTTTTGCAGTTGGGCACGCATTCTTTGATGCTAGTGCGGTGAGAGGCAATGACCGGCGTGGATTGCGTCTACACAGACAGCTGGATGAGCCTGCAGCTCAGCCACAGCTTCTGGTTGATAATGGGGCTCACCTTCTTCCGAGCACCAGCATGGCGGAGGCTATGGCATTCAGAAGGAGGAGGAAGAGGCCCGAATGAAGCTCTTCATGCCCTTCCAGGCGAGACAGCGCCGTGTCATGGCTTCCTGGAGGGGACTTTGGGTTAGCTGTTGGGGCTCTTTAATGGTCATGACGAAGGTGCCAGTGGTGTGAGGTTCAGGTAACATACTCATACTAATACTGATACTAATAATAACAGTAATGCTCGTAGCAATATTGTAAGAGTACCAAGAGCAATGTCCATTTGGCTCCTGTCAACTAGCACCCCTCTACAGTGCACCGGCCGGAAGCTCGGTGCAGGTTACGACAGATCTCATGAAGCTTGCAAAGCCCGACTGCATCTTCATGAACTGCGCGAGCCACGGAGCGAACCAGTGCATCATGTTTTTTTGGTTGTTTTATGTCGAAAGTACCAGGCTTGCCAGCGGCTCGCGGTATGGAGCAAACGGCCGAAGTGATAGACGGACCACAGCCAAGCACTCAAAGAATCGGTTTGTAGCTTCATAGAAGTCAGCCGCTGAAGTGCCACAAGATTCAGCAGACTCAGGTCTGTTGTTTTCGACCAGGCAGAGAACCGACTCCATGCCATGAAGGCATTACCGTTGTCGTCTGGCATGCCCATGTACGAACTACCAATGCCCCAGAAAGCTCTGTCCCTTGCCCACTTCACGCGTAGCACCTGACGCAACCTCCAGGTTTGAACAATTGATTCGTGAGCTTTCGGCCTTCTGGCACATCGGGCATACCATCGATGGGAGCAGCATCATCGCGTTGTCCAGCAAGTAACAATAGGCGAACCTGCATCGTTTTGGCCACACGCCACCAAAACTCGGGTGCGTCAAGCATCGACTTGTCCACGAGATCTGACGGCATCATGAGGAAGTCTGTGATCCCGACTGCGGCGCCGGCGTGTCCACTGAGCATTCTGTAGACACCTAGTTTGGGATGGCTGTTTCTGAACTTGCTTATTCTTTGATAGATTGGTAGATGGATAAAGGAAGCAAAGAATCACTCACAGTTTGTGCATATATTGATTGGTGGTGTTCAGGGATGGGGAGATCCGCCTCACGAGACACCATACTATCCGCTTCGGGCCAGCGTGCTTGCCGACGGCAGAAGAGCCCCCCTTCACTTTGCAATCAGGTGGACAGGGAGCGCCTTGCGTGCGGGTCTGGTTGACGGTGGACTCATGGCCCGAGGAAACCAGGAGGGAGGGAAGGACGCAAGGAAAGAAGGAAAGAAGGAAAGAAGGAACAAGAAGGAAGGAACGCGAGGTACTTGCCTGCCTGCCTGCCTGCCTGCCTGCCTGCCTGCCTGCCTACCTACCTACCTACCTACCTACCCCTGCCTACCTACCTACCTACCTGCCTGCCCTGCCTACCCTGCCTACCCTGCCTACCCTGCC